TGAACTGCTCCATTTCATCTTCTTTGTAAATCATGCTTCCTTCTTTCCCTATTGAACTAGTGGACCTTTCCTTGTTTATTTTTTTGTTTGGGCAGCCTATAATGAAGCTATTTGGACCTTCTAAAAGTGTCTTGGATCCTTCAAAAGAATTAGCCTCTTAATTCACATCATTCACCCCTTCTTCAAAAGAATTTGCCCTCAAATTCACTTCATCAAAACAAGTAACGAGGTTTTCAATGGTATATGTAGAATCTTCATCACCACTTTCACTACACAAGTCTTCGTGGTACTCACCATCTTCATAATTGTCATCTTCTTTCACAAGAAACATGTCTTGGGTCCTCTATCGATCTCTTCCTTAAATACTTTTTCCCTTAGAAACAAACTTGAACTTCGATTAACATTTGAGCACTTACTATGTCCTTTATGAGACAAAAGATGTAGACTAAAACGTTTATTCCCAACCTCCACGTAATACACATTGGTCTTGCCATCAAATTTCACAAATCTATCATATTGCCAAGGACGACCTAATAGTACATGACACACATCCATGGGGCAAACATCACACAAAACTTTGTCATGAAATTTACCAATTGAAAAGGATATTAGAGCTTGTTTATTCACCTTGACATCGCTTGAATTATTGAGCCAATGAAGCTTGTAAGGGTTTGGATGCTCGGTAATTGGCCACTTCAATTTATCTACCAACGTAGTAGACACTACATTAGTGCAGCTACCCGTGTCTATTATCATATCACACAACCTATCTTCTACCTTACATCTTGTGAGAAAGATTTTCTCCTTTTGATTGCCCTCAATAGACATAGGTTTTGAGTGTAGTGCTCTCCTTAGGACCAAAATTTGACTATGAGTCTCGAGTTCAATTTCTTTCATGTGTTCCTCCTCTTCTTCAGGGTTTTCCTCATCCTTTTCACCGTCCCTACCTTGCTCACACATAGCTTGTTCTTGTTCCCATTCTTGAGCCGTCATTACCCTTTTAGAATGACAATCACTTGCAATGTGACCAACACTACCACACTTAAAACACTTCCTATCTTCAAACTTCTTATTAGATTCAGATTTAGGCTTTGTCTCCTTGTAATTCGAACAAGAACCACCTTTTTCCTCACTAGATTTCTCAGAAGGTTTTGAGAACCCTTGTACAAAGGACTTAGTGAACGAGCCCTTCTTCCCTTTTAATTGTTTTTCAACTTTGATAGCCACTTTACACACATCCTTAAAAGATCAATATTGTTGTAATTCAACTTTTTCAGCAATATTATCATTCAATCCCGAAATAAATCTAACAATCTTATGTTCAACAATCTCTTCTAAACCACATAGCATGCATAACTTCTCAAACTCAACAATATAATTCTCAACATTCATGGAAGTTTGTTTAAAAGTTAGCATCTTAAGATAGATATCTTGAATATAATCACTAGGAACGAAACTCTTTTTCATGTGCTTCTTAAGTTGCTCCCAAGTTGTGATTTTGTCACGCCCTTCCCTATGCCTCTTCTTTTTCAAATTATCATACCAAAGACTAGCACAACCAGTGAGCTTCAACTCCGCAATTTTACACTTCTTTCTCTTATCATACTCCTTGTAATCAAAGAGAGTTTCGACCCTTCTAATCCATTCAAAATACTTCTCTGGTTCATTCATACTCCCATTGAATTCGGGAAGGTCTAACCTAAGGTTTCTATCATCATCTTTTGGTCTATCCCTTCTCCTAGGTCTAGGTGAATCATCACTTGATGAATAATTCTTTCGTGACCTCCTTGGGTTTCTCCTTGGTTGTTCAGCCTCACTTGAACTAGAATTAGGGTTAGAATCACCCCTCTTTGAAGAAGATCCATCACGAGTATCAAGTCTCTTCAATACCTCCTCAAACCTTGCTACCAACTCGGTGTGATTTGTCTTGAGCTTGTTCTAAGGTTAAACCCCTTGGAACCTGTGGAACCTCTTCGTCAATCATTATTCCTACACAAACCAAGTTAGTCTATGAAAAAATCTAGATTAAAAGATCAAATCTTGAAGGAATCTTGAAGCAAACAAAAACCGGACTCCCAACCGCAACCCAATGTAATAACACCAAAAGTTTGAGGCCGTAAAGAGTTCGTTAATCAACCAAAAGCTACGAAATTTTTTATGGTGATAGCTAGACGTTTTTAGAGTCTAATGCAAAAAGAATCACTCAAAAATTCCCAGCCAAACGTTACCAGTTTTTTTTTCTACCGGAACCTGGAATCTGACACCAAGATGATGTGAATTTTAGTCCAAAAACTAAAACACACAAGAATATGAATAAAGCTTAATTCTATACAGGAAAATCCACCAAAAGAATTAAAAAAGAAACTAGATTAATTAACTAGAAATCCACCAAATTAATCAACCTAAATGAATGTTTCAACTAAAACAAGCAAAACAACAATTGAAATTAAAATTACCCCTATTTATAGACATAGGAGGCAACTAATTCTACTCTTACAAGGACTAGGACAAACCCCTAACCTTGTTCCCCTAGTATCCTTACTAGAATAGAATTACTACTTCTAACTAGAATAGGAAAACTTATCCTAATCAAACTCTAATTAACTAACTAAAAACTTTCCTACTAACCATAAGAAGTTTATAGCAACTAAATAATAGAAATTTAATCTTATCCTAAGTGCTTAAACCAAGAAAAACTCTTTCAAGTAAAAGGTAAAAACTTGCAAGCAAAAACTCTAGAAATAAACTAAGTCTATAAAATCATTCTTTTCATATCCCTGCCACCACACCACCACACGCGCCACCCCTGTTGACACGCGCCACACCAGCGTGTAGCTGGGCTCAGTTCGGTGGCGGGAAGCCGGCGCGTGGGCCCCATCTCGGCGCGTGGCCACCGTGCTCCTCGCCGAAAGTGAACTTCTCCATTTCATCTTCTTTGTAAATCACGCTTCCTTCTTTCCCTATTGAACTAGTGGACCTTTCCTTATTTATTTCTTTGTTTAGGTAGGCTATAATGAAGCTATTTGGACCTTCTAAAAGTGTCTTGGACCCTTCAAAAGAATTAGCTTCTTGATTCACATCACCTTTGGTGTGAAAAATAAATGTGTGCCTTTTTGTATTGGATTCTTTTAGCTCAAAAAAGCGTTGAACCTCTTTCAGCAAGTGCCTTAATGCCTAGTAGAGCTTTTTTATGCACTGACTTACCCTTAACCATTCTGATTCATTTTTTTATTCCTCATTCCCCACTTTTAGATTTTTTTTTTGAGACACAAGAACTAAAAATAAGAGAATTATATGGAAAAAAAATAAGGCTGTGATTTGCATAAGCCAATCTATTGCATTTTAGAGTATGTTTGAATAGAAATATTTGTAGGGAAAGGAAAGGAAGGAGGGATAAATTTTCCCTTGTTTGGATAAGACAAAGGGTTAGAGAAAGGAAAGAAAAGGGATCCATTTTCCTTCCCCATTTAACAAACCAAATTCCTCCATAGTTAGAGCTATTTGGAGGAAAATGAAACGTCAAACTTTCCCTCCTCTCCTTTTCCCTTCGCTATTGTTATCCAAACATAGTGTTAGGCAAATTTTATCTCATATGGCCCCATGTGATGATTGTAGCATTTTAACACCAATATATTTAGGAATACTACATTTTATACCAACCATAATTCAAGCAAAACATATGTGATAAACTGCCAACATTTATAAGAATAAATAAATGTGTTAGGCTTTACTAGCATAATAGTAATCCAATACTGAACATTATTCCATCCATTTCTTTTTTATCTTCTTGTTTGTAATCTTATAAATATGCACAATTTGAGAAAATCTCCTATATTATTCCTCATATGTATAAAAAGGAAAATGAAAAAGAAAAAAGTCATGTTTGGACTTGTTTGATTTGTAAGAGAGAGGCCGCTTGTCAAGTAGAAGAAAAAGGAACAAGACTACAATGGGAGAGCAGCACCCACTAATATGCCAGCAACATGGGCAGCAGCTACAACACTTCACTGGAATGCCAGCCACATGGACAGCAGCCACAACACTGAGTGGGCACAAACCAAAATCCTTTGGGTAGTTGTGAGAGAGACAAAATTTTGTATATAAGAGGGGAAAGGGTAGAGTGAAAGAGCAATTTAGTTTGGAAAGTGGTAACCTCAAACTACTAACTGGTGTCTTTAATTATGCCAAGAATCAACCTCTCCATAATTTCCTAAGTTATTTTGTATTATGTGATAGTGTTGGTGGAGCAAGTTTATCACATAGTCTCAATGGGTGCTTAAAAAAATTTAAAAAATTTAAAAATTTGGCTATTATGTAATATTGGTCAAAAATGTACATTCGGCAAACGTGCATAGTAAAACAAAAAGACTTAAAAAGTCAAAAAGTAATTGTGGGAGTAAATTTTAAACATAATAAGGACGGTACTTAGATTTTAAAAAAGGAAAAGAAAAAAAGTTTATATGCTGCTTAAGTAATGCCACAACAAACAAATGATAAGACTCATAACATAATAGTCAAATTGATAGATCAATAGATGAAGACACCACAATTGGTTTTTTTTTTTTTTTTTATTTTTTTTTTTTTTTTTGAGATCAAAAGAAACAACAAACATCCCCTTGATAAGAGAAATTTATGAGAAACTAATTCTTACATTCTAGAGCTAAACTTCAACAAAGAGTTATTCTACATTCTAGAGCTAAACTTCAACAAAGAATTAGCCTACTATATACACATCCTTCCCATAAATTAGACCACATTTTATTCTTCCAGTTTTAATATATAAGTAGGCATACATAACAGAGCATACCCTAGTTGGGAGTCCAATTAAATGCAACAAGCAGCCAAAATAAAGTATCCATATGCCTGTCGAAATGTGTGATTAGAAAGAACAGCAAAAACTTAATAGATTCATCACTTGTTAATCAAAGCTAGCTACAAGAATACCACTTAAACAGTCAATTATGTATGACAAATGTATAGATAAAATTGCCATAACAAACCAGGTAATTTCCCAGGCTTTCTCATTGGAACAAATTTAGCACCAATGGCCAATGCAATGGGTGGACCGAAAATGAAGCCTCTTGCCTCAACCCCTACAATATAACATGTAACATCAAATGATCATCAATATGAAGATTGTCAAACAGTTTTTAAAACAAAAACCATCAATAGGTGCAAATAATAAATGCATAACATAACATAGAACAAATCTCAACCACCTATGCAAGCTTCATCTATGAGTCAAGAATGCTTTATATGTTATAAGATTACCAACTCCAATCTCAAAATACAGGCAATTGATATTGAATAACAAAGAAAACAAATTACTTCCTCCATTTTCTTTGGGTGAGGGGATATGATACTCTCTCTGTTCCTAAATAATTGACACGTTTGACTTTTTTCTGCTATTTACATATTAACTTTGACCCTTGCATTTTAGATATAAAACAAATTTTACTATGAAATATACTGTTAAATCGGTATTATACAAAGTTTCATGCATTGATTAAGTATGTCAAGTTTGATTGTGTCAATTATACAAAATCGGATAGAGTAGTAAAAAGAGTGTTTATCAAAAATAGAAATAAAGTGAAGTGAACAAAATTTGTTTTATTAAAATAATACCAGCATATTTTATACTTTTAAATTCAACGAAGAGTCGTCAATAAATATCTGTGTTACTCAAATTCTTCATTTCTTCATTTTACCTAAGTGCTCTTAGATCCTCACGATATGAGTACTAGAGTATAGAACAATCCCACCAACAACAGAGTATAGAGCAAAAAAAACATCATGTTTACAACTATCAGACCAGAAATATGTCACCTGCAACAACCGAAATATCTTTTCCCCTGTATCTTTCAACAAACAAATCAATTGTGTCCTTGAATGCCTTTGGATCCAACAGCATGGTAGTAATATCCTGAAACATAACCCCTGTTTTCAAAAATACCCACATACAAAAACTTAATCAATATCAATAAAGAACACAAACCCACAAAATTAAACTAAATATCACATCTAAATCATCAATTAAATTAAGCACACGTTTAAACAACAACGACAACATCAAAGCAGTATCATTACTTAGTTAAAAGTAACTGCTTAACAAATTTAGAAAAAGCAGTAACACAAATAAATTGAATAAAATCGAACCAGGTTTAGGAAAGTTAGGGATGACACGAATAGAAGACTGAATTCTTGAGATTCTGTCATCTTTAGGAGGTTGTGAATCCAAAGCCATTTTGATCGGACTAACACTAACAGAGGTAGAACAACGATGAGGGAGAGAAGAGGAGAGAGAGAGGGAGTGCAGTGAGGTCGACTTGGGGGTGCGAATATTGCTCAATGGTTGACGACAGCAACAATATTTCAGTGACAGATTTGCCCTTGATGATTCACTGAATGTGTTTGTCAAATAGTGGGCTGGCGAAGAAGGTATTCTTAGAGGATGCATTTGGTATTTTTGAATTTATAAGGACTTTTGTCGGCTATTACTCGTGGAAATGTGGAGTTATTGACTTATTGGTATGGTGGCCTTGTGGCTTGTGGGGGTATAAGAATATCTTTTAGAACCGCTACACAAGATAATAATTTTATTATTATTTTTTTTTTTCAAAAAAAATAAAAAAGGCAAGACGGCAACGCCTTTCAGGGATTAGATGCCATAGTGTTGGTGTTGAAATAATGACGATTTTTTTTCATTTGTGTCCGCTAGAGGGTTATAGATTAGACTTTTTCATGCCTAAATTTATTCAACATTAAGAGTTTTTTTTTTTTTGGAACAACAAGGCTATTTATTACACACTAACAAAGTCAACAGCAAGAGCATTGTTTACAGTGTTAGGGACCTTTTTGATCCAAATAGGCATCTCTTCATAATCCTTACTAATCTTAGCTAACATATGTGCTACGCCATTTCATTTCCTACCCACATTAGCAAAAGAGATTGAAATACAAGAATTTGCAATGTGCAAGATATCCTTAACAAGGGAGCCGGAATAAGAGTTCTCGATTTTCCTGCTCTTAAGGTGCTTAATTGATTTCAGATTGTCTGATTTAAGGATGAGGGTAGTGATGCTAGCTTCAATTGCTATATGGAGAGAGTGTCACATCGCCATAGCTTCAGATTCGTCAACCCCCATCCTTCCAACAAGCTTGTGACAAGTAGCAACCATGATATCCCCACAACAATCACGAACCACGCCACCCAAACCAATCTTCTCATTCATAAAGACAGCAGCATCCGTATTCAATTTGTAATAGTTAGAGTTGGGGGATCCATCTATGACAGACCACCTGTTTGTCACGAATTTTAGACAGGATCTGACTATTTGCTTTCTCGAATTCACCCACAATACTCATTGCTTTGTTTATTACATCTTCCACATGAAAAACTTTCTTCTCAAAACACCAAGCATTTCTCTTGATCCAAATTCCCCATCTAATACTCCAAAAAATATTCCACCAGTGCTTCTCCTTATACATCAACAAAAGAGAATGGCACCAATTAAAAAAGGACTGACCTTCATTATTCAGGACATTCAGCCTCAGAGGAGAGCAATACCATACAAATCAAGCCTAGGTGCAGAACTTAAGGGCGAGAGCAACTATTTTATATTTTTCTCCACATGTGGGGCATGTGTCATTAAGGTTAATACTTCTTTATTTTTCAGATTGTGGCACACAGGAACACCGTTGTGGAGGGTTTGCAGTCCAGATATTAGACCAGATGGACACATTATGAGGATTAAAGAAGTTGCCCTATTATTTTTTCTAGCACTCAGCTCAGCATGATATGCGCTATAGACAATGAAATCCCCATTATTTGAGTAATGCCAGATCCACCCATCTTCGTTCCCATAATGAGCAATAGGAATTTTTAAGATTTCACTCACTTCCCAGTCATAAAAATGGGCCTTGAGAATGTCAAAATTCCATTCTTATTGTTGATTAGGTCAGCCATAATAGTATGAGCACCTCATCAATGTGCAATCGCTAAAAAATTCGAAAATTGGGTAAGTTTGACACCCATAGGTCCTTCCAGATTTCAATAGACAATCCACTCCCCACCAACTTTTGTGCACCCCTTTTTTAGGGGTTTTTTGAGGTGTCCTGCAGGAGAGCTATGTCACCAAGACTGGATCCTCGTCGCCTGTATCTGCAATCAAAAGGAAGCTCCGGGTGTTCGGAGTTCTGCCTCCAACGCTCAAGTTAGTACCGGGTGGAGTCTAATAAATGCGGAAAGTAAATAGGGTAGATCTTCTCAGATCACGAGATCTGAGGAATCACCGTAGAGAGTGATTGTTGCAATAAATGGAAATGTGAGATGTAAGAATTGAACGTGTCTCCCAAGGTAATAAATTCCCCTATTTATAGGGTATGGGAGTTAGTGCCCTTACCTTAGGTCATTTAACCTAGGTAATTGGGCTGCGCCGTTTTTACGGATCCTCGAGATTTGGGCCCTTGAAGGCCACCATTTCCCTAATGATGCAGAATGCCACGTGTCAAGGGTATTTTTACCCTAAACATTTACCCCTCACAAGGGTGACGTGGCATGTCACGTGGTGCCTGTGACACATGTCACGCACACATTGATGACGGTTAATTTAACCGTTTACCTTCTAGGGAAGTTACAGGGATGCCCCTAAATTTACCCCTCTATAAATAGGAGTTTATCCCCCTTCATTTTTGACATTTTCCACAAAATCTAGAAAGAGAAGTACAGAGATCTTAGAGAGAGAAAACGTATGTTCATCATCTGACATCGCCGCTTGATATAACCGGTCAACGCCTTTCACAAATCTTTCAAAAATCTTTTAAGGTAACAATGTCTCTTTCTCTACTTTATAATTTGTCCTTTTACCGTTTGTGTTTGCAACCTACTTTTAAATAAATGGATTCACCAACACACACGACACGACCTAGTATAATTGTCAACCGGTCACCTGGTGCGGCTGAGTCTAAGACTGGGGGTGTCGTCTCTGAGTGTTTGGACTCCCTAACTTGTTCTTCCTCGAATCCGATCGTCTCTATGTCTATGCAGGACACTATGACTCAGATAAAACAAACGGCCCGTGACCTATAATATAGGGAAGACGGCACATTAAAAGTACTGGTGTTGGGTTTCGTAGCGTCCAACGCTACGCGGAAGAGAAACCCGCCCAAGACCCGCCCCAATAATTAAAGCAATAAAGCATGCATAAACATAATTAAACAATAATTAAGAAAAGGGATAAAGAAGTAATACCCTTGAAGCGTGCTTCGCTCGTAAACCGAGCTCTTACTTCAAAGCTTAAAGCCTCACAAGCGTGACGGCCTCCAACGGCTCGTACCCACAACTCGACCCGAACGATCTTCGCCTCGAGGGTTAATCGAGACTTAACCAAGTATAACACTAGAGTTTTACGAACTTAAAGGTTTTCTCAATAATAAGAGATGCCTTTTTGAGTTCCACTCAAGTTGTTTCCCAAATGCCCAATCATAGGGTATTTATAGGGAAATGCAACTTGCTCTTCCCATTCATGATCAATGTGGGATAGTTGCATTTTTCACTAATTTATTTAATTCCAAAATAAATTATAAAACAATGCAATCACAAATCAACAAGTGGCATGAGGAGAGGAGAGGTTAGGTGAGGACCATGACCATGGGGGGACCATTGCCTTGCTCCCCAAGGCATGGCTCTAAGCCTTGGTCCCCACCTCTCACAAACCGGCATCAAGCATAGGGGTGAGCTGGCTGCCAGCCTTGCGGGCAAGCTAGCACAGCCAACCTAGCACAGCTAGCACGCACAGCACGCACCAGCAAGCATGCCTAGCACATGCGTGCTGCTAGCAAGCCACGCATGCTGCTAGCTGCTAGGCAAGGCCTCGCTGCTTGCTGCTGCTGCTGTGCGAGGCTCTTAGCTTGCTGCACGCTGCTTGCTGCTGCCATGCGAAGGCACACACACAAGCAAGCAAGAACAATGTGCTGCTGCTGCGATGGCATGCACGCACACGCACATGCCTAGCAATGCGATGATGTTGTGCTATGTGTAGGCACGCACACAAGCACACATGGTGCTGCGATGGTGCTGCCATGCGCCTAGAGCTAGCGATGCACACACACACGCAAGCTCCTAGCTTTGTGATGGTGTGCTGTGCGCCTAGCACGCAAGGTGCGCCTAGCATGCACGGTGTGTCTAGCACACATGGTGCTTCTAGGCTTACGCCTAGCCATGCAAAGTGCATGCTAGCTCGAGATAGCCTAGCGTCCACATGGCTAGGCCATTGTGATGCTACGGCTACGCTCGAACTTGTTGCTTGTTGATTTTGCGACGCTCGGTCTCGACGCCTTAGGCTCGATATCCGACGTCTGTGTTCGTAATACTCTAGTGACTCATCAAATACTTCGGATTGATTCGTCAGTTCGGATTGGAAGTTTGTTTGGGTTCGACCCGAAGGGTTCAGTCAAGACAAAGCTGCAATAATAATTGTTCACTAACATTACAGATCGGAAGCGACCTCCACCTAAGCATTCCGATCACTTGATCTCACTGAAGAATTAGCTTCCTGATAATTCTAAACCCTCTATCAGAATAATACACTTGTTGGAAGGACACCATTCCTTTGAATCTCCCACTTGTCCTTCCGGACAAGTGTGCATACAGTGTACAACCCATTTCCTATGTCGCTTAATGCCTCTTCGTGAACTATAAGGTAAGAATCTTCGTCATCCTTATTACGTCCATAAGTGTTTCTCGATCTCCGAGTTCGACTGTCAATAAGCAGATGATTTCTAAAATTCATCTGAGCACAGCTATGCATTTTCACAGTCTCACTCTTCGAGCGGCCTTGTAAACAACAAAGACATATTCCCTATTGTTAATAGGGGGACATTTCCAGTCTTGCACTGTAAGCCTCTCTTACTAAGAGGACCTAATCTCCCGAGTGTTCCCGTTATAATCCCCAGTTACGGTGGACGTTTGACAACATCAAAGAGACCAGTACTCAAACAAGATAACTTCATAATAATCATGGTCGAGGAAATAGGTTCCGATAGCTATAATGAGAAATGTACTTATGACGTTTTTGAATCTCTTAAAGTACTCTCTTAGGTCGATCCGGTGCAGTTCCAAACTAGCACCTGTGCAAATGATTTATGACTACTATGTCCTTGCAGCACAAGAAACAGTACTGTAAATCATACTACACACTAATCTCCAGTGGTCAATAATAGTCCATCAGTTAAATGACCCCGATTAGGGATAATTTTCAATTTAAATATTCAATGTTCACTTAACAGGTCTTTCTTTATCCAAGACATGGTCTTGATACCCTGTTTTGAATATTCTCATAAGTCGAATGCACTCATTATTTAATTCTAAACCACAATTAAATAGCAATGGAGTGAATGAATAAATTAATAACTCCATAAATGAATGGTTTCTACATAGTGTTTTACATTAAGACATCTAGTTTAATTAAAACACATGTACAGGGAATTCAAAGCCAATCTCCAACGTGCTTGA